ACAAAAGCATTCTTTTTGGATAGCAGGATGAGTATATAACAATGTACTAATTCAGATCCCTAAATATTTTGTTATTCTAGTGAGCTGAGAGAGTTTATGCCTTTTTCCAAAGTGTTTCATTGGGATATGAATGAAACATTTACTTTGTAATATTCTAAACAGGCTACCATTCTTGTAATTCCAAATGTAGGCATAATTTTACTGGTTTTCTAGGATGCTATTGTATCATTTGCTGCTATATTATTCTCGAATAAAGACATTTGGTGCCCTAGCTTCACCCCTCTGCAAACATTGCATTCCAAGATTCCCTTTGAAAAGCATCCAGGTAGGAAGAGATCATGAAAAGGAAAAGATAAATGTAAGTTTAATATTCATTGTGAGATTCAGTAAATTGTAATTGCTTAAATAAAAAAGAAATATACTATGCATCATTGATTTAGTTTGAAACTGCCATCAGATAGTTCAAAACTGTCATCAGAAAAAGAATTCTTTGAGATAAAAATATTTGGACTGTTTATAAAAAATAATGGATGGATTGTAAGTAGGCGCAGGAAACTGAAGTTCTGTTTCCTTAGCAATTGCTCCTGTGTCTAACTCCGAATTGACTCTAAAAGTTTTCTACTTGAAAGTGCCTGTCCAAAGCCAAAGTTAGTGGAAGAATTCAACCTTGAAGGAAAATGAATCTTGGGCAAGAAAGAGAAATTTTCCAGTAAGTACAGAAGAACAATTCAGGCTAGGTAATAAGAATGAGCCTTGAAAAGAAGAATTATCTCATTGATCTTGCCTGGCTGCTCAGGTGAAATATTCAGCAGAAGAATCTCACAAGAGAAGAGGACCCTTATGAGAGAATGGTGACAATTTAAGTCAAAAAAATAATAAAAAGAGTGCTATTATTGCCATTTGGGGAAATGGTTAAAGTTCCTTAAGAATCAAAATACCTATAAATCAGGTCACAATGGAAAAAGTGTAGTCGTTAAAACACAATATAGAGAAAGAAATGAAGGTACGTTTTCCTTCTATGTGAAGGCAATATAAAGCATTCGTACAGAGTAAAAATCAGTAAAGGTTAGTCTCTCTCTCTCTCTTCTCTGTGCCCTGTTTATAAGTTTTTAAAAGGCCCTTGATCAAAGCATGTGATTAATATGATGAATCTTCATACAATTTGTTTTTATTCGTCGTTATGTCTAAATTATGCTGCTGGACAGTCATACACAATCTGAGTTCTATGAAAATGGGATACACTCAAAATTCGCTAGGATCACCATGTGTAAATTCCATACATCTTTTGAGAAAAGTCATTTAGAATAAATATTAGCTGAAAGTCTGTACAATTTAGAGCAATCTGAAATCCGGCATAAGACATTAGTGTAAATTCCTTTGGAATTAAAAAGAAAGTACAGCCTGAGTTCTCAACATAACTTATTTTGCAGTCTCTTTAAATGTAGCAAATGAGTTGAGGTTTCATATTTATATTCTGAATGTATTCCTAGGGAGGAAAAAATGATTTTGAATCTTGCAACCTCCAAAGAAGCAGCAATAACTTATTAATTGTGCCCTGGGTGATCTTAAAGCGTGGCAGAAAAACAGCCTTAGAGACTTCCAAAGATGCATAACGTTCTCCTAGAGGGAACAGTAGGGACACCAGGAGAATCTAGCTGCACAAGTATTTCAAAAAAGCCATTTACATGTTGAAGGAAAGGATTTAATTAATAGTGTTACAGCTGTGAAGTTAATATGCAGATAGGAGGTCCTAGCTCAAGGGACTGGTACACATTTTTTAAACAAGTCACTCAGTCCTACATTTTTTCCCCTTTATAGCTCTTGCATAGTAATAAATACGTCCCAAAGCTTTGGGAATGAGAATCATAATGTCTGTTAATTTCTTCAATAATAATAAAAATGATGATGATGATGTTGATGGCAATTATGAGAACTACTATTTACTGAAACTTCTATAACAAGATCCTAAGTCCTTTATATGTATTATCTTATTTAATTCTTACAACAATCCAGTACAATTAGTGCTCTGGTTTTCCTCCAAAGGAAACCAAAAATCCAGGAGATTACGTAAATGCAGACCCACAATCATTCCTGACCTCACCAGACATGTATGCATTCCTTATAAACAACACATCCATTTCCTTCAAGTTCTGGAAGATCTGAGGAGAATCAGGACCCTCAAGGCCCGTGACAAACATGATGCAGAGCTGATTGGCAGATGAAGTAAAAAGGAAAGGAATGTCTGGGGACAGGAATCAAGAATCATAACAGGCCAGATGTATGACTGTTCATGCCCATGATAACATGCACTAGTAGTTAGTAAGAATCGCTGGGTGCTTCCTGTCATTGGAATAACACCGAATAGAGATATTGTGCAAATTAATCTGAATCTAGTTTTTGGGAAAAGATTCCTTACTTTATTTATTAAAAATTTTCTTTGATGTTTATTTATTTTTGAGAGACAGAGACAGAGTGCAAGTGGGGGAAGGGCAGAGAGAGAGGGAGACAGAATCCAAATCAGGCTCTGGGCTCTGAGCTGTCAGCACCGAGCCCTATGCAGGGCTGGAACCCACGTACCGTGAGATCATGACCTGAGCTGAAGTCAGACGCTTAACTGACTGAGCCACCCAGGCATCCCAAGATTCCATATTTTAGAGTGTATATTTGGTGGTGTGTGTGTGTGGCGGGGGGAATCAAGGTGAAAGGAGACTTCTATTCAATCTATCCAAGTAGGAAATGCCAAAATGCACCCATGAACCAGCAAGAAATAGAGAGCTCTAGAAAGTATATACCAGGATGTAGGGACAAGAAATTTCTTATAAAAACTGTAATTCAATCTGGAAGGGAAGCAGGGGCGCTTGCGTTTGTTAAGGGTTCTTAACTTGGCTCTAATTTTCAGGACAGATGTCCTACAGACTGCAACTGAGGCTAAACTGTTGCTAACTACGGAAAGTTACCAGGCTTTGAGGCCGTTAATAGAAGGAGACCAACAGAAAATCTTTAGGATGCTCATTTTGGAGTCATCTATCCTTCTAACGATCTAGGACACTTGGTTGACTGCCTAACGGCATTTGAATGGGTAATAAAATGAGTGACTGGGACGAATACATACATCGTTTTTAAGCCTGCACCCAAAGAAATGAGAAAGAAAAAGCCTTGACAGGCATACTGATATTAGAAACGAAGTCACAAAAAGCAGTTCTCAAAAGTAATCTTGAGCAGAGGAGAGAAAACACTTGTATGACCAAGAGCTGCTAATATTATGATTTTTTTTAATCAATTCATAGCGTTGTTTTGAAGCTTTCCTGAGTTACCATAAGTGATGAGCTTAAAACAATGCTCAATACCCAGCTCGTGTTGATTACTACCATTTATTGGCAAAGCTGGTCCTGTTTTGAAGTGTGACAGAGATCATGGTTACATGATTTGCCTAAGGGCCCATAGTTAATAAGTGTTAAGACAAGATTTGAATGAAAGACTTGGGATTTGAAATTGAGTTTTCTTTTAGCACATCATGATGCCAATTCCATAAGACACATTCTTCTGGTCTATTTTCCCCCCCAAATCAGTTTATATGGAAGAAAACAGAAGAGAATTACTACCCACTAATGATTCAAACAGACTATTCAAATTACACGATACAAAATGCCATGGTTTGAAAAGTGCTATGCTTAACTTATTATTCACAATTATTATATTCATAAAATTTGCATTTTAACATTACTTTATAATCTGCATGCTACAGAAGATAACTGGGAACTGACTTAAATACATTTTCTGTCTTAAAAATGAGAGGTAAAATGTGACTATTGGCACAAATATTAAAGGTAGATGCTTGTGCATTTGTATAAAAGGCAGTATTAGAAATGTCATTTCTGGCTCCCAAATACATTTGCCAATGTGAGGAAATGATGACAAGTTCTAATTATAAAGTTACCATAGTATAGAATGAAGACTAACTACCCCTGCGGGTTTCAGAGAAAATCATTCAGGGATTTTTGTTGGCGAGCTGAGTCAAAAATTCTTTGTTACCAATGGATTTTCAATGGAGCCTAACAACTTTAAGAGTCTGTGCTGGTCAGTGCAAATTTTCTAAGATGTAAAACCACAAATGCTAGTAGAGGGCCATTGTGTTACTTAGAAGATTTCAAACTATCATATAATAGAACACGTTAATAGAGCTGATAATGAGAAATCTAAAAAAATACAGCTTTCTCATTCTTTTTGTTAATTATACTGTTACAATTCTCTATGATCTCTACAAGTAAAAACTGTGCTGGTTTATGAGAAACATGCTTGAGAAACACAGCTAGAAACTTCTCCCAAGATGCTCTTACATTTGGATGGCAATCAAAGGATGGCTCTGTACCAGTCACAGTGAGACTTTTGTGCTCTACCTACACTGCTTGTAGACAGAAATAACCCTGGTACCATGTTGCATTGAGACAGCTCTTTCTATTTCATCAGAATTTCAAGATATACTTAGTTGTTAGTAAATGTATCCTCCATTTGACATATAAGGATTTTATCCTTGGTCAAACTTTTTTTTTTTTTTTTTTTTTCAGAATCAATATTCAAGCAAAGATAGCAGCTGGCTATTCCTATTTGTTACATCAACATTTTCATCAATCCCCTTTTCCACTTTAAATACAAGAATGTTCAAAAACATTGTTCAATTAACATATGGGGGCTGTTGTCCCTGTGGCATTATGGCTTTTTAAACTGGACATGAGGGTACGGTAGAAGCTGAGCTCCACCACAGCTGAACAAACCAAGCCAGAAAGTCACAGTTGTGGAGTTTCATTAAGTTAACATGCTTCTAAGATCACTCTTGCCTGATCAGGACCCAAACTGACTTTTGATTAGTATTCCATTTGTAATGTTACTTAGATTGCTCTCTCTCTCTCGATATATGTATGTATATATACACATATAGAGAGTCATAATAATTTACTAGTCTACTCTTTTTAAAGTGTACTTTAAAAGCATGATAAACTTACCTTAGAGAGCCCACCGACTTCCAAATAAAAGCAGATAATGAACACATTCCAGGTGACCCAGAGGGCAGTCCATACTGTGTACTAGAGAGAAGGGAGGCAGAGGGAGAAAGAGAAGAAAAAAACGGAGAGATGAAAGACATGTATACTAAATAAATCAATAATAAAAATGTCAATATGTCTAAGTCTTCTGGGAAGAAGCAGGCCGTGCTCAGAAAAGAGTGCTCCTTATGAGGTCCCCTAAGATCTAGAAATTAAAAATCCAATAGTTTCTACAGCTTTCAGTAGATGCCAATAAAGCTAGATTTATTTTAAAGTGCTTTGCTGGCTTGCAGATAAAGTGAAATTCAAGAGCGGACTTGATTTCTGTTTTCTGAGTATTACTTTTTCCAGGGAAGACAATAATGCAAATTTCCTGTGTGTTATCTCTCTATCTTTTAGTTATATTAACCTGTCAAATTTTTAGGAATGTTAGTCAACACTCAGTACTTCCATATCCCTGAATGGAGATCATGTTTGAAAATGGATGTAGGGAGTAAAATTAACAAACTTTCCTGTTGAACTCTTCTAATATGAGTAGAGTGTGTATGCTTCCAACATAATGGTATTAAATATTATCATGTAAAATAGTTTTCAAAAACACAAAAATTAATAAATAGGATTAAGAATGAGCAAATAAACGACAGATTTCCATAATAGGAAAATACCTTCCAATCACAAGCAACAAACTCTAAACATGCCTGCCTTATTGATTAATTGGTTTTATTAATGTATTATGTATTAAGAAATGCCTTCCTTGAGAGCACTGGCCAATGTGAATTAAGGTAGCCTTTGATCAAGGTGCATCAGTGCAGAGGGTCCAAGGGCATAAGGCAGCCAGTTACTGATGGAGAAACTGGGATTGTAGAACTGACAGAGAATAGCTTGGATGACTGACGGAATTTACTGTGGGAACACAATACAATGGTTTTCTCCTTTATTTTACTTTATCACAAAAGTCTATACAGTGTTAATTTTTTAAATCAACATACTAACTGATTCCTTTCTATCAGTGATTTTAATCATCCCATGCTATTGTCAAATTAAAATAAATATTGAAATTACTTCAGTAGCTTCTTCTATGTTGTGTCAAAATCATGAAGTTTAAACACTGTGTAAAACATATACGTTTATATTAGAAACCTCATCAGAAGCTTATAACTATTTGCAAAATCTAATTTACATTTTGTGTCTGTCATTTATGATTTTTCAAAGGCTTTCAAAATAATCTCACGTAGTTGTGTAGTTTTATAACTCGTTACATTTGATGTCACATTGCATACATCTTTCTTTCTTTCTGGAGAGGAGTTTTTGCCTTTTTTTTAAAGAATAATATAATTATAATTATGAGTTAAAGGGGGTCCAAAATCACTGAAAATTTAGAGAAGGTAGGAAATACATTCAAATATTAACACAAATTTAAAAATATAGTGAGGCTTTTGGTATTTGTAGATAATGTTGATGCTGCCAATATCTTCTGTTAGTAAAGTCTTCTGGTATGAACGAATTTAGACAGTTTTAAAAATGTGCCAAGTGCCCTGAAATACACTTTTATAGACCACAAAATAGTCCCATGAATACTGAAAAAAGCTAAACTTCATCCCAAATGTATATTTTTTGCAAACCAATCAAGTCACAATATCCATAACAAATTTCAAAGCTGTGGCTAATATAAGATGGCCACTGGTATCTGACATTTTTCATTCTAAGTTAATCTAACTATGAATCAATTAGCATGAGAGAGCAGTGCAAACCTCAAAGTCATAAGAAAAAAGCCAATGATAAAGAGTAAGGAAAGGACATAAAAGAAAGTAAGGCTAACATAAGGAAATAAACAAAATTAACTGCAAAACCATATGATTCTTAGTTGTTAGATGGCAAACTTAAACCCATATGTATTCTTTTACAAAAGACAATCGATCCCCCCATCCTTATAAACAATGCATAATAAAACCGATCTACTTAAAATCACAGCACAAACTCAGTGACTGAAGTATATTCAGGATCTCTCACAAGTTGTACCACTGATGCCATTTGGGAACTTCCACAGATAAAATTACCAGGCTGAGTAGGTCCAAGTGTCAGCTGCTAAATTCCTAACAATAACATTCTGCCGCTTTCTATGTTGCTGGTACAAAGGAAGCACTGTGTTCCTGGTACTGTGCGAAGCATTTTATATAGATCAAGTTATTCAGTCATCCACTAAACCAAGGAAGAGAGTAATCTTTTGATCACCTAGTTAGTGTCATAATTGGGAGAGGAACTCTAACATTCTGACTCCAGAGCTGAGATGCTTAAGTATTACATGACAGGCTTCATTTCAAAATGTTTTTAGGAAAAGCACTATGGAATAATTTGTAAGTTAACACATCACCAAATTTTGCAAGTTATCAAATGAACAGTTCACCAAGTTTTCAGTTTTCAAAAATTTGCTTCATTTATCTGATTCAGCAATTGGCATTGTTTTTGAATAACAATTTCTTTTGTATTTTGCAAGTCATGCGTTATGCGTGATATGAAGGTCATGGTTTTTAAAAGCAATATTATAAGCTTCTTTCTTCTAATGTATTGGTTTGGTGAGAACAAAGAGTATTTGTATGACTGAATCTCGGATGGTTGTGGGATGAAAACTACACACCTCAACGTGCACTGGAGACTCAAGTGCATACATAGAGATAAAGAGAAAGAAATTTCTAGCAATACAAACACATCCATAGGCCTTTACCTAGGCAGAAAGTAATAGGACAACAAATGTATTCTTTTTGACATGGGCTATTTTATTTATAATTCAATGCAAATAGGAATAAAAGAAAGAGATGACTCTATTTTTAAGAAACACCTTTTGGTTATCATGGATCATGCCCATATGCTCAGATATCCAGACACATATACTTGCAGTATAGAAAACCACTTCCCAAAATATAAAAAATTACTCTGTATAATTATCTATCTCCCTATTTATTTTTGTACTTTGCTTATGTTCGGTACATACATAAAATTTTTTAAATGTTTTGTTTGTTTTTGAGAGAGAGAGAGTACAAGCAGGGGAGGGGCAGAGAGAGAGGGAGACACAGAATCTGAAGCAGCTCCAGGCTCTGAGCTGTTAGCACAGAGCCCAACATGGGGCTCAAACTTGTGAACCTCGAGATCATGACCTGAGTCAAAGTCAGATGCTTAACAACTGAGCCACCTAGGCGTCCCTCAGTACATATATTTTAAATCCTAATTTACATAAACAAAGACTATACGATGAGAAAAATATCCATCTGTTCTAAGTAATGTCCTGAATATTTCATGGTTTTACAGAGATATTTCAGTGTTTTTTAATTGAAATGAATTTTGGAAGTCTTGCAATCTATTTCTTCCTCACTGAGCAATTAGTCTATAACATGAATTATTTTTACTTCCTGAGCTTGTTTTCTAATTAACAGAAAGGCCATTTATTCATTCATTCACATGTGTATCAATCAGATACAGTATCATGCACAATACGTTAGGCTTATGATTTTAAAAAGAAATAGGTTTCCTGCTCACTCATTGTTCTAACACTTTCTGGAGTTTAGTATTCATTTCCAGAAGAATTTTAAGAGAGTAATGTGCTATCCCTTCATTTTAATGGCTAAAAAAGCAGAGTGAAAGCAAAAAAAAAAAAAAAATATATATTAAACAGCTCAATTATGTACTAAGCACTTACTCTGTGTTAGGTTATGTTAAGCAAGTCACATACATCGCATAATATAATTCTTTTTTTTTTCTTTTTTTTTAATGTTTTTTATTTATTTCTAGGAGAGAGACAGCATGAGTAGAGGAGGGTCAGAGAGAGAGGGAGTCACAGACTCTGAAACAGGCTCCAGGCTCTGAGCTGGCAGTCAGCACAGAGCCCGACGCGGGGCTCGAACCCACGAACTGTGAGATCATGACCTAAGCGAAAGTCGGACACTTAACCAACTAAACTACCCAGGCGCCCCTCGCATAATATAATTCTTAAGCACAATCTGAGTCAGGCTTTTACATATGAAGTTAACTACGGTACAAATAAAACAAATAAATGTCCCAAGGCTTCACAGCCAATAACTGGTGGAGGGGATTTAATATAGGGCCAGCTAAATGGAAAACTGACACCCTGTTTTTAAAAAAATGTTTATTTATTTATTTATTTTGAGAGAAAGAGAAAGCGTGCAGGGGAGGGGCAGAGAGAGAGGAGAGAGAGAATTTCAAGGAGGCTCTGCACTAGGAGCACAGAGCCAGATGGAGGGCTTGAAGTCAAGAATCTTGAGGTCATGACCTGAGCTGAAATTACGAGTCAGATGCTGAAGTGACTGAGCCACCCAGGCGCCCTGGAAAATTGACACTCTTAACTGTCATGCTGAGTAGTAGCTCAAGAAGGAGATTTACGATGACATAGCAGGGAAACTTTTCTGCAGCCATTCAAATTACACAAGTTTCTATTCTTTTCACATGAGCATTTGCATAAAAGTCCCATAACAAAGCTGCGAAGTTAGCAAATTAACTTTGCTTTCTTTCTAATTTTTAAAAGCAGTTTTGATTTAATTTCCAAAGTTAGTATTTCTTCAAAATATTTAAATTAACTAATGCTTTTGCACCTCAATTAATTTAGAACTACTTGGTTAAATTACTGCCCAGGAAATAATAAAGGTTTAAACAATTCTAGGGCAGACTCTCATTTTGGAATTTCTATGTAAGATTTTAGAATATTTTGTACAGGAGGAAACAGTTGATTCTAGAACAACACTTCATGCCTTCTGCTTCATTTTGTCTATCGTCAAAGAAGCACAAAAGGTACATTCAAACCCTACAGCTGACCTTGGTACCCACTAAGACATAGATCCCACCTTGCACTTTCGCTGAAATAAATGTCAATCACTAAAAGCTGCCATGTGACAAAGCTGTTTTGGTGTTCTAAGTAAATACAGACGTGACAAACTGCACCTTATCAGCAGTGATAATATCCAGAGTGAATTATTGTTCTTTCGTTTGTGACTTGCCTGCATTTTTCTGACAGTTTTTGCTCTCAAACCTCCTCA